GTCTCAAGTTTTTCCACATTTACTGAAATCCAATATCGTTACCCTAAAAGAGGCTCCCAAAAACCTAACACTACATCTCCTCACTATAATTCAAATGCTCGGTGTACTTACAATTCTTAAAGTCCAGGCCATGATACAAACGATTGTTTGGCTTTGAAGAACAAGGTGCAGGATTTGATTGAGGAAAAATGAGATTGAATTTGACGCTCCTGATACCTCTAATGTTATAACCCTATGCCTAAGCATGACCGTGGTGTTAATGCTATTGATGATGACATGTTTGTTGCTTCTGTTGATGAACTAGCTACTCCACTCTTGACTGTTAAAAAGAATCTCTTGCAGGCCGATTTATTTCCGGGTTGTGGTGAAGGTTACCACTTATGTTTGTTCCTACCTAATGGTTGCCATTTGTTGAAGGAAGGTGTTCAGCGCCTGATGGATGATAAAGAAATTCTGTTTGAGAAGACTCCAGTTACAAGTGCTCCGTGTGAAGACGTTTCCATCATTACCATTTCTGCCAATCCTCCCAAGGTCTCCTCCAAAAGACTTGTCAGGATTACATCTGTTCCGAAAAGTTGCTCCATTGATAATTACTTTCCTTGGACCTATACCATATTCCTCGGGTAAAGTTATTCCCTGGAACTATGGGGCTAACGTTTATTACCATGGCGTCAATCAGGATTTTCTATTTGTTAAAGATAAAGATGTCGAAGACTCTGATCCTAACATTAGTAATATTGCCGGGACCAGTAAGATAAAAAGAAGCGAAAGAGTTTTCTCTCCCCGAGATCTCTCCTCCTAAAACTGTTGCTACTCCTGTGATCATCCATACTGCTACTCCTGTCAGTATTCCCATTGCCACTCCTACTGTTAGTCCTGCTATTATCCCTGCTACCGAGTCTGCTGAGACTCGGGGGGAAAAGAGGTATTGGTTGAGCCTGTCCGGACGAAGGCACATCTAGAAGCCATCCCTGAGGCTTCTAGAAAGGAGATGGAAGAGATATTGAAAATATCAAGAAGAGTGACTATAATGTGGTTGAACAACTAGGGCAGACCCCTTCCAAAATCTCAATGTTGGCCCTGTTATTGTGCTCTGAAGCCCATGCCAAGGCTTTACTAAAATTCCTAAAGTCTGCCCACATGCCTCAAGAGACCTCCGTTGATCAATTTGAAGACTGTGTTGCCAGTTTGACTGCCGATAATGGGCTAGGTTTTTTTGATGCTAATTTAACACCCTGAAGAAGGGAATCATAATGATGCTCTCCATGTCTCTATCGAGTGCAGGGGGCACTACTTTGGCCCATGTTCTAGTGGATACAGGTTCATCGTTGAATGTTTTTCCCAAGAAAGCCCTTGACAGGTTGGATTGCAAAGGGCTCACCCTAAAGCCTAGTAACATTGCAGTGAGAGCCTTCGACGGTTCTAAAAGAATGGTGCATGGGGAGGTGGAAAAACAGGTTACGGGATAGGCTTCTTATCTTCTTTGCTATTTATTTCAACAATGGCTCTTGCACAAACAGTTGAGGAGCTCCAGGCACAAAATGCTTAATTTCCAAGAAATGTTCCTGAATTTGGCTAAGGGACAAGAAGATTTGAAAGCTCTGATTCTCAAGGACAATAAGAAGAAAAAGAGGCCAGTGGGTGTTCTGAATTTGGGAAGAAGGTTCAAAAGACAAGTGAAGCAAGTTTCAGAGCTCTCAACTCCGTCAAGAGAGAGAGAGAGAGAGGAGAGAGAGAGAGAGAGGAGAGAGATGAGAGAGAGAGGAGGAGAGGAGGAGAGAGAGAGAGGAGAGAGAGAGAGAGAGAGAGAGAGAGAGAGATGAGAGGGAGAGAGAGAGAGAGAGAGAGAGAGAGAGAGAGAGAGAGAGGGAGAGAGAGAGAGGAGAGAGAGAGAGAGAGAGAGGAGAGAGAGGACAATCAGGAGGGAGAGCCAAGAGAAGAAGACCACAGTACAAGGGAGTCTGAAGAAGATGAACCTGACTATTCTGAGGAGTAGTATCCTCCTATTGATGATAAATACAAACAACTAGAGGATCGGCTCAATGCCATGGATACCCAAAGGGTACCTGGGTTGGATTTTGAAGAGCTAGGACTGGTCTCATGGGGTCGTCATCCCGTGGAAGTTCGAGGTCCCTACATTTTCTAAGTACGATGGTTTCTCATTCCCTAAGCTGCATTATAGGGTCGTATGTCCGAAAAATTCAAACCCCATACTACTGATAGGGATTTGTGGGTACACTTCTTCCAGGAAAGTTTGGAATGGACTTAGTTGGAATGGTTCTATCAACTAGAAAGAAACCAATGTGCGTAATTAGGAAGATCTAGTTGCTGCTTTCTACAAGTAGTACCAATATAATGTTGACCTCGCCCCGACTCATACACAGTTGTAAAGTATGTCTATGGGTTCCGGCAAGGGTTTTAAGGGACTATGCCCAAAAATGGAGAGACCCTTGCGGGAAGAGCCCAGCCTACATTGTCTGATAGGGAGTTGGTGGACATGGTATTGGGCACATTATCTGGACCATTCTTTAACCACCTGATTGGAAGTTTCTTCTGTTGGGTTTACTGAATGATCTTGACTGGAGAACGGGGTAGAAGCCGACATTAAAAGTGGTAAAATACAGAGAGATGCATCCTCTAGTACTGCAAAGAAACCATTCATAGGGAAGAAGGAGGTCAGTGCTGCTTATGGCCAAAGAAATCTTATCAAAACTGAGCGTCGTCCAACGGTAGAGGCTGTTATGATTTCCAATCCTGCATCAAATCGGCAACAGAATAATCAGTCCAGAACAGGTAAGCCAAGGAGACAGTTTACCCGAATCAATATGACCTTGTCTCAAGTTTTTCCATATTTACTGAAATCCAATATCGTTACCCTAAAAGAGGCTCCCAAAAACCCTAACACTACATCTCCTCACTATAATTCAAATGCTCGGTGTACTTACAATTCTTAAAGTCAAGGCCATGATACAAACGATTGTTTGGCTTTGAAGAACAGGGTGCAGGATTTGATTGAGGAAAAGGAGATTGAATTTAACGCTTCTGATACCTCTAATGTTATAACCCTATGCCTAAGCATGATCGTGGTGTTAATGCTATTGATGATTACATGTTTGTTGCTTCTGTTAATGAACTAGGTACTCCACTCTTGACTGTTAAAAAGAATCTCTTGCAGGCCGATTTATTTTCGGGTTGTGGTGAAGGTTGCCACTTATGTTTGTTCCTACCTAATGGTTGCCATTTGTTGAAGGAAGGTGTTCAGCGCCTGATGGATGATAAAGAAGTTCTGTTTGAGAAGACTCCAGTTACAAGTGCTCCGTGTGAAGACGTTTCCATCATTACCATTTCTGCCAATCCTCCCAAGGTCTCCTCCAAAAGACTTGTCAGGATTACATCTGTTCCGAAAGTTGCTCCATTGATAATTACTTTCCTTGGACCTATACCATATTCCTCGGGTAAAGTTGTTCCTTGGAACTATGGGGCTAATGTCTATTACCATGGCGTCAATCAGGATTTTCTATTTGTTAAAGATAAAGATGTCGAAGACTCTGATCCTAACATTAGTAATATTGTCGGGACCAGTAAGATAACAAGAAGCGAAAGAGTTTTCTCTCCCGAGATCTCTCCTCCTAAAACTGTTGCTACTCTTGTGATCATCCATACTGCTACTCCTGTCAGTATTCCCATTGCCACTCCTACTGTTAGTCCTGCTATTATCCCTGCTACCGAG